CATATGTACAATTGGGTTGTGTCACTCCATGGATTTAGGATCTCAATTCAAATGAAAACAATACATACGTTTGTTGTTTTAAAGTGGTAGAGGAATTTTAATTCAGAACGTGGCTGTTCTGACAAGAGATCACATCCAAAGGCCTTCTAAGTTTGTGTGATCTTTTTGGAATACAGGCCTTTAATCCAGGAGACAGAGGCAAGCAGTTTTGAGTTCAAGGTCAGCCTGGTATAGAACAAATTTCAGGTAAAGAAAAGCTTAGATCCAGCCACGGCGGTACATGCCTTTAATCCCAAGCAATGAAGGTAAAGTTAGTTTGTAAAGGGAAGCACCCTTGTTTGAAAGTGATGTCTAGTTGAGTGACAGAAAAGGTGAGAAAGCAGAGAAGATTTGACAGACTAGGATACACCCAACTCTCACAAGAAGAAAAAAGGGAAGCTACTTAAGGTGCAATGTAGAGTGAGAAGAGGCAGTTTTACCAAGACAGTAAGAGACAGGCTGCAGAGAGAGAGAACTCAGGTGGAAGATCACATGAGCCAGAGAATGAAGAGGAGCCAGGTTAGAGCTGAGCTAGTTTGAGGCCAAAAAGCAGTTCAGAGGCCAAGAGAAAAACCAGATTGAATAAATCAGTTGGGAGAGGAGTTTGAGCCAGAACAGCTGAGTTGAACCAGCCGGTCCAGAGCTCAGTAAGAACAAGAAAGGTTGAGCTTATAAAAGCAGTAAGTCTCAGATGCTGAAAACGTTCTAGGCCTACGTTAGCAGAAGGAGGCAGTACGCCTTCCAGACAACATTTGAAACAGGTGAATGAAAGTTCCTTTTATGAAAATAGACTTAATAAACTCACAGTGTGTTAACAGAGCACATAATTTTATTAAAAAAAAAAAAAACTTTTCAAAACAAGGAAGAAGTGAAGAGTCCTGTGCATCCTGACATGTGAGGAGGCTGGGTTCTTTTAGTGCCTCTGCTTTTACATGGGAACTAGTGGAAGGAGTCTCAGTACTGAGGCAGGGCCTTAACCCTGAGGGTTGTTTTCTCTTGTTCACTCCATGAAGAGTGACAAGGTGAGAGTGTTGTGCCCTGGCTGGGTATGCTTACACCCCAGTGAGAGTATGCTAATTAGTAGTAGAGGGCATTAGCAAGACTTAACAGAGGAGCTAGCCCTCTATTGGGGAAAGTACTCTGTTCTTGGAGTGCCCTCTGTAGGTTGGCAACCTGGTACCTCCCATTGGTAGTCCTTCCTCTGAAGCTTTGATGGTAGCTGTGCTGCACCCTCCTGGAACTGGCCTGTCTGGGAAGTAGAACCTTGGTGTGGTCTCTGGGGTCCTCTGCCTAGGAAGGCCCTTGTGTAAATGTTACAGCTCTGAGGGAAAGGGTTCCCTAATGCAAGTGTTACAGCTTTGAGGGGAAAGTATCCTGGCAGTTGGGATCCAAGGAATACCAGTGTCATACTGCACTACAAACCAACCACAAAAGATTTACTGGGAAAGATACAAGAGGGTGGCTGCCCCTGCTTAGGTTAGAAGCAGCAAAGAGCTGAACTGGGGTGGAGGGGGGATGTAGGCTTATATAGGGCAGTGGTTTTCAACCTGTGGGTCACATATCAGATATTTATATTGCAGTTCATAACAGTAGCAAAATTATAGTTATAAAGTAATAGTTATGAGGAAGCAATGAAATAGTTTTATGATTGGGGGTGGTTTACCATAACATAAAGAAAGGGTCAAAGCATTAGGAAGGTTGAGAACCATTGATACAGGATTTCTTGGGGGTGGAACTTTCCAGGGTGGGGATTGTTGGGATTTCAAGTCCTGAGTTTAAGGTGAACTCAGGGAATGGTGGGTTTTGAGCTCAGGGGTTGGTAGAATTTCAAGCCCTGAGTTTGGGCTTTTTACTCTGTAGGGCAGAGCTTAGCCACCTAACAACAGAGAGAGATGACCTTTGTCTTTTCCTTGAGGAGTAAGGCTGCTTTTATGTCAACCAGTTGGGTTTAGTAAAAAACAATAAGACTTGACAACTCCAGAAAGAAACAGCTCCATTCTTATGGCCAGTGGATCCTTGACAGTCCTATATGGAATTAGATATTGCCCTTCTTAACCCTGATTCTCCTCCTCTTCTTAACTCTATTAGTCACACCCTGCCTTATAAACTTGTCTACATGTTTTCAACAACAGATCCCAAAGATTTCTAACCAGACTGCTTCCCCACCCCCAAGTCAGGGTTTCTCTATGTAGAACTGCCTGTCTTTGATGTGATTAAAGAAGTGTACAACCACTGACTGGCTTCTTCTTCCCCCCCCCCTTTCTTTTAAAAGATTTATCTATCTATCTATCTATCTATCTATCTATCTATCTATCTATCTATCCATCCATCTATTTATTTTACAGCATCCTGCTGTCTCTAGGGGCTGAGTCTGGCCATTATGGCCATTAGAGTGTTCTGTGAGTAGAGCTTGGAGATCCTCAAAGGTGGGGCCGGGGTACTTGCACCCCTTTGAGGGGCTTACATTTCTCCCTTTTTATTTACTATTGATAAACAATCAGGTCAGGAAAGGAGGATAATGTTCTCATTAGACTACTTCCTATTAAAAGGGGGCATTGGAGTATTTGGGGCAAGTATGATCTTCACTGTCAGAGTATAATCCAGGAGTTGCAGGCCTCTGGTTTCCTAGCTAGGAGCCAATAATCTGTAATAGCAACTGATTAAAAGTCTGGTTAGAAGCTAGTCAGTGGAGGGCCTGGAGAGATGGCTCAGAGCTTAAGAGCACTGGCTGTTCTTCCAAAGGTCCTAAGTTCAATTCCCAGCAACCACATGGTGGCTCAAAACCATCTATAGTGAGATCTGGAGCCTTCTTCCTGCACACAGGCACACACACTGGCAGAATGCTGTATAATAAACAAACAAACAAATAAGTCTTTTAAAAGAAATGGGGGGGGGGAAAAAAAAAAGAAGAAGCCAGTCAGTGGTTGTACACTTCTTTAATCACATCAGAGACAGGCAGTTCTACATAGAGAAACCCTGACTTGGGGGTGGGGAAGCAGTCTGGTTAGAAATCTTTGGGATCTGTTGTTGAAAACATGTAGACAAGTTTATAAGGCAGGGTGTGACTAATAGAGTTAAGAAGAGGAGGAGAATCAGGGTTAAGAAGGGCAATATCTAATTCCATATAGGACTGTCAAGGATCCACTGGCCATAGGAATGGAGCTGTTTCTTTCTGGAGTTGTCAAGTCTTATTGTTTTTTACTAAACCCAACTGGTTGACATAAAAGCAGCCTTACTCCTCAAGGAAAAGACAAAGGTCATCTCTCTCTGTTGTTAGTAGATTTAATCCTCACTGACCTTGTTGCACTAAGGTGGCCAGTGAGTCTGTTTGGCCCTGGAAGGTGAGGCTGCTCTGAGCCACCCATTGGAGATACTGGATGAACTTAGAGGAAATTTGATGGTAAATATCTAAGGAAGTAGTCAGTCCCAAATTCCAGTGGCAATGCCAGTGGTTATACCCAGTAATTCAAGAAAGGGTGGGACCTAAATTATACTCATGATGGTTGCTGCTGTAAACCCTGTGATGGGAACTGGCAGAGCTTCTTCCCAGGGTATACAATCCCTTGTTTTGGAAAAAGGAACACCAAGACACAAGTCCTGGACCAGCCAGTGGGTAGCCAGCTCTTAACTTAAGTGCTGCAAAGAATCAAGGCATTGTAAATGTTTGGACATAGGGCCTGGGTGGTAGTGCTAAGGGCTAAGATACTGCAGTCTGTACTGTGGCCACAAAGCATGTTCCTGAGGAGTTAAGACAGTTTGTGATACCGAAAAGAGAAGTGTGAAAGATATAAAGGGTGGTGTGCTGTTTGGCTTAGAGCAGTTAATAGACAGCCAGGTGAGAGTCTAATAAGCCAGTGGGCAAGGGCACAGATGGTGATTAAGGAGGGACACACAACCAACATTCTTCAAAGCAGGCAGATCATTATTCAGTAGCTGATGTGTGGAGGCTAAGGTCTAAAACAAGAGATGCTGTGATAGGGAGGTGAGATCGATATCATCTGAAAGGGGTCTAAGGACCTTTGAGACCACTTCTTCTAGCATGTTTGTACCTAGGGGTTGAAAGAGTGGGATGTGTACCCTTCCTTGACTGTGCCTGATGGATGACTATGATAAATGCTAAAGTAAAGTTTACCAATGACCCCTGTCCCCCATCTGGAATGCCATGGGTCCTTAATTAGGATATAAAAGATCCCCCATTCTGCATAAAAGGCAGAGCACCTTCCTGAATATGCATCATGTCTCCTACAAAACCAAGAAGTCTCTGATCACCGTTGACAGTAATCTCTAGTTTAATCATAGAGAAAGTAAGCATTGAGGACAGGTGTTTTAGAAGTTGATTTTGGTGTTACAGGGAAAGGTATCTCCTTTTGGCAACCTGCTGCTAAGACCCCACCATATGGGTGGTCTGGTTGAACTGCTGAGTATAGGTTTCCTGAACCACTGAAATCATAGTATAACAATAACATAGAGGAGGAAAGAAATCTGAAACATTGTTCATTATCTTAACTCACTTTCTTAGATCTTCAGAGCTTTCTTAAGATTTTACATCCTTAGACCTTTGTACACTTTTTTTAAGACCCTCAGAACTTACTTAAGCTTTTACATTCCCAGAGCTTTATAATACTTTCTTAGACTCTTATAATACTTTCTTAGACTTTCTTAGCCTTTGGAAAAGCAGCTTTTTGGAAGTGGTTTATGCTTCAGGCACCAGGTGCTGCCCCCTGCTGTCACAGCTGTGTTGCAGCACAGGTCCACAGTGCTATTCACCAGGAATTCTGTAGGGTCTTGACCATTTGGATTGGCCTGTGGTAGCATAGCCACCCAATTGCCCAGAGAAGTCTGGCCTTTGGTGACTCTCTCCTTGCTTGCATCTGACTTAATTAGCCCAATATGGAGAGTCCTTCTCTGTGGTTTGGGCCAAGGTGTGACATGTAATCATGCCATCCTTTCTTTCTTGGCAGGAAGTCTAAAGCTAAGCCAAACGGCAAGAAACCTGCTGCAGAGGAGAAGAAGGTGTACCTGGAGCCGGAGCACACCAAGTCCAGGATCACTGACTTTGAGTTCAAGGAGCTGGTAGTGCTGCCCCGGGAGATCGACCTCAACGAGTGGCTGGCCAGCAACAGTGCGTGCGGGTGGGGAGGCGGGTGCAGCAGCTGCAGGGCAGGGAGCCTCCCCCGATCTCCAAGTACCCCCAGAGCAGTGGTCAGTGGACAGGCTGAACTCAGCTGAACCCGCTCCCTGTCACGCCAGCTGGAGAAGGGGTGTTTACTCACCTGGCCCTTTGCTTCTCTTCCAGCAACAACATTTTTTCACCACATCAACCTGCAGTATAGCACAATCTCAGAATTTTGCACAGGAGAGACGTGTCAGACAATGGCTGTGTGCAACACGTGAGTAGCAGCCTGGCCATAGCACCTATTGGGAGTGTGGGATGGGCTGTGGTTGGCCTTGCTGTCTGGGCTACCAGCTTCTCAGACTACATTCTCACCTGGGTTCTGAGCACCATCTCAGGCTAGGCAGAATCTTCTGTACCTGAGGGGCCAGGTGCCCATCATAAGTATCTCTATTGTATGCCGTCAGAGGCCAGAGGCAGACAATGCTTAAATGATCCTGGAGCCTGCCAAGTGCTCAGTGGCCTGGGAGCTGCAGAGTTAAGTGAGCAGGCTCATTCTACTAGTAGAGATGGCTTATGGACAGGTCTAGTGCTGACAGCTCTCTTCTGGGTGTATGTATGCATTTAGTGCTGTATGCAGATATCTTCAAGGGCTCCAAGATACCTCACTTTGCTTTGCACATAGGAAAGCCATTGTGTGGCACGTGTTTGCCAGCAGCCCTGGGTTGATGGAAGGAATGGCTGTGCTAGTAAAGGAAGAAGGCTGGATGTGGCCAAGGAAATGGAAGATCTTCCATGATGGCTTCTTGTCATTAAGATGCTGTGGACTCATGGAAGTGTGTGTGTGTGTGTGTGTGTGTGTGTGTGTGTGTGTGTGTGTGATTGTGATGTAGTGTAGTGTACACTCAAGCAGTCCTCACTGTAGGTACAACTCTCCCCAGACAAATGAGTTCTATTCTCAAGAGTCTGCTGTAAATCCTAGTACACCAGATGACAGGAGTCCCTTCTGCCTTAACCAGCTAGGCCAACTCATATACCTGTAGTGGCTACAGCTCAGTGTCTGGCATTGTAAGGGAACAGAGCCAGCTCTCTGTTCCCCAGGCGGATCAGGTGTCCGCTAAGCATTGCCAGGGAAATTGAGGTACCCTTTTGAGAATAAGCTTGGTACAGAGATATGGCTTCTAAAGGACAGACTCATGACATATTCTGAGGTAGCACTTGAAAGTGTATGTGAAGCCTAGACAATGTCAAATAGCATGGTACCCTCCCTGGCTTCTCCCATGTGTCTTTCTGAATTTGTTTGGAAGAAGCTTTCTCAAAAGTATAGTAAAGTACAGACCTGCATATGGTATATGCTGGAGAGCCTGGCTACCTAAGCCTTTTGCTCACTTTGTATCACTTGATGATTCCTACTATAATCCTCTTGCAGTAATCATGTGAGACCAAGGGATTTTGGAAACTCAAAACTAGTTTGAAAGAAAAAGGGAACTAGTCAGAAATCCACAGAACTTTTTCTCTGTGCCCTGGAGGTTTGTCTAGGTGGAGAAGAGTCTGTACTAGGCTAGGTCTCGTTTCCTTCCTTGCAGCACCTGCAGGATGACCCCAAAAGGCCAGCATTAGGATCCATGGGGCCAAGACATATTTAGAAACCTGGCCAAACAGGTCCCTCAGAGACACCCCTTTACATTAGCAGAGCTGAGTGAACCCTTAAGGACTGATCTGTGAACTAGCCCAGACACCAAGCATAGTACAGGCCCCATGACATCTCCTGGGCAGTGCTGTAAGCCCCCCCTTTCTCAGGTGCTACAGGGAAGAAGTATTACTTCACACTCCACATTTAGCAGCCATGCACTTCAGGAGCACAATTAAATGGACCACTGCAAGCTCTCTGACCTTTTGCAGGAGAGTTCCAACCAGTCCTTCAGCTGTGTGGCAGCACAAAAGAAGAGTCACAGTAACTGGAAAAATATAGACTCTTCTCAGGAGCACTCAGAAGGTATTTGAGAGTGAAATGAAGTATAGTCTGACACATTCTCAGGATTCAGAGAAGAGACATGTGAGCCTTGGTGGTGAGAATAAAGAGGTGCCCATATTCTGTTGGTGACCAACTTTCCCTAGATGATGCCAAACTCAGAGTGAAATCTTGAGCATGAAAAGCCAAGTATGTGCTTTGAAATTCTTTAAGCAATTAAAAAATGATACAAAAACATACAGTCAGAACCATAATGGGTAAATTGAAATGGAATAGTTAAAAAAAGGTGGAGGGATTATAGCCCCAAATAGAGCAAAACCACAGAAGAATAAAGATTGAAGAAAAAAAAAGCAGAAAACCAACAATGGTGATTGAAATCCAGCAGATAGGTGACTGCCACAATGAGAGTCTCCAAGAGATTTTTATGAAAATATTCTTGTAGAACTAAACTGAACTTCCCTAAGAGAAAAACACTCACCATCGTCTGTCTGACTGCCATAACCAAATGACCATGATGGAGGCAACTGAACAGCACTGGTATATATCTTGTGGACTACAAGTTCAGATCCAGGTTTGGAGTCTGAGAAGAGCTTCTTGGTTCATGGACAGCCACTCTTTTTGAAAGGCATGAGCACTGGTCATGAGAGCTTTACCATAATGGCATGATCACTAAGTCCACATCTTAATACCATGACCTTGGGAGTGAGGATTTGTTTTAGGGTTTTGAGGGACTTAGATACACCAAAGTGTTCATTTATTGTTTGATTGACTAATTGATTTATGCTGAAGCTCAAAACCTTATGCCTGCTAGCAGGTGCTCTGCTACCAAGCCACATCCCAGCCCTGTTTAAAGTTCTATGAGAGATAGAATTCTACCATGTTGTCTAAGCTGACCTGGAGCAGGCATCCTTCTGTCTTTATCTGCCAAGTAGCTGAGATCACAGGTGTACTCTACCTACTTACTCCTGGCTCAAAATGGCACTTGAAATGTTGTAAAATGGGAAAGTTACAGTACAAGATGACAAACCTAGAAAAACACTACCAAATGAAAGCTCAAGTAGCTGTGTTTTATAGCAGCAGATACTCAAAGTCAGCCAGGTTGCAAAAGGAAGTTGTGAGTTGAGAAGGGCTGCTCCTCAGGCCTGTGGAGTTCCTCAGTGCCTGTTGCCAGATGGCAGAGCTTCACAAAGCAAACTACCAGCTGCAGGGGGAAGGGCAAGGGGACAGAGGCTGAGGTGCCATTTAAGGACATTCCATCTCAGCAGCAAAATGAATCTTATTTTCAACTTCATAAGGAGTGCTTATGAAACAAGATGCTGTTCTGGCTCTCCAAAGAGCTCTTGACAACTTTTAAAGAGTTGAACTCATATTAAGTAAGTTATCTGATCATTGTGGAGTTATAATGGGAATCAGTGTGAGAGATATAACAGACAATTTTCCAAATACTTTGGAACCAGTGCATTCCTGAGTAATCCGTAAATTAAGGAAAAAAAAAAAAATCTCAAGGCCAATGAGAAGTTTGAACTAAACACAAGTTGAAATGCAAAATGTATCAAAATTTGTGAGACACAGCCAAATGTGGTAACTCATATCTGTAATCCCAGCACTTGGGAAGTTGAGGCAGGAGAATTGCCAGTCCTGACAACAGAGAAAACCTAAAAAAATTGAGAGAGACAGAGACAGACAAAGAAGAATTTGTGGGCTGTAGCTGCATCAAGGTGGTGAGAGCAGTTTATAATACCAAGTGTACATTTCAGACAGAGACCTCATAGTAAAACCAAAACCAATCCAAGTGGACAGAAGAAAGGAAATCATAAAACAAGAGTGAAAATCACTGAAGTTGAGATCTAGAAACTATAAGGAAAATATCTGTTTGCTTGGAAAGAGTAATAAAGTTAATAAGCCTTAGCAAGACACAAAGATAGAGAGAAGATAGGAATTATGAACATAAGACATTAGAATAGTTCACAATGAATTCAACAGAGGTAGTTAGGAAACTGCAGGATCCTCTTCAAATGTTACCCAGCTAGCATGAAATCAACTGTTCTTTGGAGAAGAAAACTCAAGGGCTTATCTAGTTCAGTAAGACAGAGAGAAGGATTGAAAAGCCGACATCAGAAAAGAAAAAAATAATCAGCTATATATCTTCTCAGAGAACACACTGTGAAACACTGAAGGAGCAACAAAATAAATTCTAGAAGACCAGCATACAGAAACAGTCAAAGGCCTGTGTGCTAGCTGTATATGATTAAAAACCTAACCAGTCAAGCAGAACCATTGATAATAGCTCCAGAGGCATCAAAATGCTTAGGTATAAACAGCATTCACAGGACTATATTTGTGGAAACCACAAAAGTTCGGGATAGAGAGTTAAAGATAGCACACAAACAGCTATACTATGTTCATGGATTGGAAGACAGTAGCTTAACATAGAGCTCTATGCTGAACGAACCTCTGGCTTAGTTTGTTCTCAGTTAAAAACTCCATCAGAGTTATTACCTACTAGATGAGTGTGCTTTGGAATTTAAATGGAAGGGGTAGCTAGGGTAGCCGCAACAACTGGAGGAGACCCACAGTCTGAAGATAAACTGTTAAGCCACAGTTACAAGACAGTGTGCTGTTGACCAAATGTAAGATACAAGTTAGTGGGCCAGAGCACAGTCCAGAAGGAAACTCAAAAACAGTCTTAATTTCTGATGAAGTGGCCAATGAAACTATAGAAAGGACAGTTTTGTTTTGTTTCCCAACAACTGCTGCTGTGAAATGCAACATTACACGGAGGAAACGAAAAGTACCTGAACTTTAAGCCTCATATCTGATACAGAAATGGGAAAATATAAGGCTTTTAGAGGATAGGAAGAAATCTCTATGACCTAGTATTAGGTTGAATATTATATCAAAGGAGTGGCCCACTGATGAAAAGGAATCAGTCAACTGGCCTTTGTGATGATTCAGAACTTTTACCCTAAGAAGGACAATTATGAGGAGAAAGAACAAGCACAGACTATGTGGAAACATCTGGGAGGCACCTGTTGTACAAGAACTGGTATCCAGGACATGCAGAGAGCTCTCAGTGCAGGAGCATGCAAGCAGCAGCTTGATGGACAAGAATGAGGCAGGACTGGTTGCCACAGTGTGGCAGTGAGCCACTAAGAAGATGCTTAACACAAATGAAACCCACATGGGGGTACTGTAGAACACTAGGTGCTGGGGAGCACATGTCATGCTGCTGAGATACAGGTGGCATAGTATATGGAATAACTTTGATGCATTCTCATGAAATGATGCACAGACCTGCTGTGACCATAATCCTGTCCTTGGCTTTGCTTTAGAGACATAAAAACTTGTATTTACATAGAACCCCCCATGGGAACATACGTAACAGTGTGGTCCATAATCATCCCTAATAGGAAAGAATCACAGTCCCTCAGCAGGAGCTTAGGGGAGCATGCTGTGTTGGGCCTAGGGCACCTGGGTGGTGTGACATCCCCACTGCATGGCCAGATACCAGAGGGTGTGAGCAGCCCCTGTGATTCCTTCATCCAAGATCTCCCAAGGAGATGCCTGAGGGGGCAGTGCACCAACGGCAGCACCAGCTCCTTTTGACAGAACACAGAGTGACTGTGATACAGCACATGGTTAAGACCCAGGGGCTCTATATATCCACTATCTCCCTATCCTAATGCTGGTCTTCTTAGAACTGGCAATCACATGAGGACTGGCTACCTCATGCATAGGCTAAAGAGTTTGGTGTGGGCCTCTAGAATCAAGTCACTTGATTGCAAGCACCTACTGTTCTTCATGGGGAGAGTGTGGCTTATAAGATACTGCCAAGGATCTGGGCTCTCTGGCCAGTCCGGGCCACTTCCTAGAAAGATAACCTGTGCCCAATTAATTTTAAAAGGTACAGATTTATTTAAATAAATAAAACCTGCAGAAGTAGGCAAAAATGATGGTGTCACATTGGGCTGCCTATAATTTTGGTTCTGTACAGTAGGGCCTTGCTCTCCTCAGATGCTGTTCTGAGAACTTTGTGTGTCCCAAACAGTTGTATATAGCTTATTACATCAAGCTGCCACTGCCTTTGAGTTTGTGCTGTATGTATGGGAACCGGCACTGGGGTGGGTATTTGGCAGGGTTGGCACCCTGACCAAAGTCTCTGTCCCCACAGACAATACTACTGGTATGACGAGCGGGGGAAGAAGGTCAAGTGCACCGCCCCCCAGTATGTTGACTTTGTCATGAGCTCTGTGCAGAAGCTGGTAACTGATGAAGATGTGTTTCCCACAAAATACGGTATGTCTTTTGCAGCTTGTATCCAAATCCATATGCAAAGCCAGCAGTTCTTCAGGTTCTCTTCTAGACAGTCTCAGGGGTATGACTGCAATCAGGATCTAGAAGGGCTACAGCTTCATGACTCTAGCTCCTGCTTGGCACAGGAGATCTGGGCTGAGGGATAAGGGTTCAGCCCCTACAGAGTTCAGCCTAGCTGGGGTCAAATGTATACCTACACTACGGGACCCACCACTTGGCCCCCTTTGGCCCTGCTATCAGCTCTGCACAATGAGGCCATCACAGTCCATTTTGCTGGGGTTGGCTTTTCCAGACCTGTCAAGTTTGTGGTTGAGGCTCAAAACTCATCCTGAGCAATAAAAGTGCCAGCACTGGCTTATAGGGATTTCCATGATTCTCCCTACATGGTCTACAGATAGCCCTGGGGTATCTGCTGGAGGAAGCACATAGAACCTGAGTGCCCACCACGTATTCTTTGCTGTGCAAGTGACCAGCATGGCTCAGCCAGCATCTGTTACTCTGGGCAGCTGCCACCCTGGGGGGCAGGTTGCTGGGAACTCTATGGAGGAGTGGTAGCAGGTGTGAGCACTTGAGACCCATCCAGGGAAGCCTAGTTGTAGGAGCCTGGCCTCCTTGCAGCTCTATGACATGTGGCCTCCCCTTAGGCAGAGAATTCCCCAGCTCCTTCGAGTCCTTGGTGAAGAAGATCTGCAAGTATCTGTTTCACGTGTTGGGCCACATCTACTGGGCCCACTTCAAGGAGACGCTGGCCCTTGAGCTGCACGGACACTTGAACACACTGTACGTGCACTTCATCCTCTTTGCCAGAGAGTTCAACCTGCTCGACCCCAAAGAAACCGCTGTCATGGACGACCTCACTGAGGTGCTGTGCAGCAGCCCAGGTAGCAGTGGTGCCACTGGGGATGGGGCCAGCAGTGGAGCTTCTGGAGCACAGAACCATGTGAAGGAGAGATGAGCCTCCAGGGCCAGATGGGTGCACATGTGCAAAGAGACAACTATGTGTCGGTGTGTGCGCACACATGCCCAGGCGTGCTGATGGCAAGGTCTGAGGGCCCGGGCTGCTCAGAGTGTGGACTCCATGGATGCCGCTGGAGTCAAGGCGTGTTTCCTGACTTTCCTGTTGGATGGATGAGTGCTGTTTGTAGTGAAGAGCCTTTGGAGTCATTCATTCATTCAACAAACATTTATTGGACTGATGTTTTGATTTTTCTTCTGTGGGGTTTTCCTTTCTTGGGTCTTCCATATGGCTCTTGCCCTCCCCTTCCCTCTGGGGAAAGGGGCTCTGTGGCTTTGAAAGAAGCACCTTGTGAGGTGTCTCTCCCTTATAGGGCTTGCCCTGCAGACCTGGAGTTCTGCTGTGCTTTGGGGATGGCCTTTTACAGAGGCTCACCCTGCAGTTTCCTCCCTAGCCCTTGCCTGGATTTTGGCTCAGAGTCCCTGGGGTAGAGGGGCCTGGGGAGACCCAGGAGGGCCCACACCTGCTGCTTGCTCCTATCAACCCCTTCTTGCTGCCTCCTCAGTGCCCAAGGAGGTCCCATTTTGCATAGGGGCCAGGGCAGTACCAGGACCTCTCTGAGGCTCTGTGTGGAGACAGAGCTGTCAGTGAAAGGCAGAATCTGCTTTAGTTCATCTGTTCAGACATAATAAAAAGAATTCTCTCAGGTCAGAGCCTGTGTCCTCTCAGCCTGCTGTTTCATATTGTTCTTCTGAGGCTCTTGGTCCTCAGTGCTAGGCAGGGAAGAGTGCAAGCATTGACATTATCCTCACTGGCTGTACCCCCTTGAGTGAGGATGGAGGCCTTCAGTGCTGTAGAGTTGGGTTGCCTCAGGCTCAACGTTGGGGGCCCAGGAAGAGGCAGCCTGCCTAGGTGGGGTTGGGACTTAAGCTCAAGACTGGAGCTGGCCCAGGGCTCAAGTAGAGGAAAGGGGAGCCGAGCATGCTTATGTCTGGGTCCTCACAGACAACGAACTCAGATCTTTGGATCCTGGCAATCTGCTTCCTGTGCTTGCTTCCTGGCACCAGCAGCTCTGGTGTTTGATTCCTGGGATACTCAGCCTTTAAGTTGTGGGGCCCTCCTGGGTTTTGGTGTCTGTCTGGCCCTCTGGCTCAGCCTGTGCAATGCATTTGTGGCTACCAGGCCCTTTTCTTCACATACTGCACCATCAGCAGCCCCTGGGAGGCTGAATTTGGTGCTGGAGGCTCTTCTGTTAACCCCTGGACCAACCCCACCTGCCTTCTAACATTCTCAGAGGACATCTGCCCGTGTCTAACGACTACCAGAAAATTCCAGGATAAATGGAGTCTTCACAGCCTGGTCCTGCTGCCTCTCCATAGGAGTCCTTCTGAGACTGAAGCAGGAAGATTATGAGTTTGAGGCCACCCTAGGGCCACACAGGGAGCTCTTATCAAATGAACAAAACCCTTCCTGGACCTACTCCAAGCCTTTTGTCTCAGTTCCTGGGAATGGAACCCACCAGACTGCCTGAGCCTCTGCTCCAGGTATTACCCACCACATCTCTTGGCTCAGCACAGGCCCCTTAAGTAGCCACAGGATGCCCATGGAACTTTTATGACCAGGGCTGCTACAGGAGCCTATGGGGGAGTCTCATCTTGCCTATGGGGAAGTATCAGTGGGGAATCCTAGGGGCAAGGAACAGCAAGAACAAAGTGGAGTATGGCTCAGTGATACTGCCCTTTCCTCTGCTCCCAGGTACTGCAAGCTAGACTCCAAGCAGAGCCCTTCAGGGAATAGAACGACCATAGTTCTGGCCACCCAGTGGAGGGGAGGATGCCCAGTACCGAGTCCATGGCTAGCTGCCGGGAAGATGAGTTCTAACTGGTGATCCAGGGAAGAGGGCCTGCCTCTGGTATGTTTGGTCTGATAGGAAGGGGTGGCTAGGAAGGAGTGGCAGGACTTCTAAGCACATGGATGTGTCAGAGCCTTTGGAAGGCCATCTATGAAGGATGGATATTTAGGAGAGGGCTGCCACCTGCTGGGCTGTGGGCTAGGCCCAGCTTTTATGCTCCAAGGTATACAGGGCAGTTCTGTGTGCTCTCTACCATATGGATGGCTCCTTGCTGTGTCCTTGTCCCTGCCATGGTATTCTTTCTGTACATGGAGTAGGTCCATGAAGAGGTGTAGCTCATAGGGAGTGAACACTGAATGACTGGGGAACGCTCAGGCTATATGAATGACAAATGACACTCAAGTTTCCTGTCAGGAAAATGTGCTCCAGAGATAGAACCCAGGTGAACCTAGGCAATCGTTTCTTTGGACCTCAGCAAGGCAGGCCTAGCCTGTTCACCAGTTACGGACACCTTTGGTCAGTCCTCTAGCCAAAAGCTGAAAGTAGAGTACAGATTATTTGTGAAGGACTTGTGGACAAGGCTTTTGTCTTAGAGAGCAAATCCTATGAAAGATACAGGAGTCTGATAAGGTTCTTGACAACAGTGCATTTCATAAGAAGCCCTGAGGCGGGATGAAACAAAAGGCTATTTCAGGTGGGATGCTAACGAGTGTAGTAGTAAATGCTATTTTTCCTACAAATAGGGCAGAGCACAGGGCTAGACCCCTGAGCCATAGAGGATGCCTGCCACTGGCTTCCTGTTTGTCCTTCTGTGGCTGGAGGGTACATGACCTTGTCTACTTGTTGGCCTACAAGTATAGAAAGATTACTCTTACGATGCATCAGACCTAACCCTCCTTTGACTTAAGAGGATGCAACTTGAGGCTTCTGAGCTAATACAGTGAGGTATGAGGCCTAGCTTGATACTGTGATGTGTTGAGGCTTTGGAAAGTGATGAATATTTTACATATGGGATGGAAGTTTAAATTGGGCCGTTGGGCAGACTGAGATAATGCCTCACATCAAACAGGTCCTCTCCCTGGATCCTTTGAATGTTATCTCTTGCTGACAGGACATAAAATTACAGGTGGAATGAAGATTGTGATCAGCTGATATTGACATGGAGGTGACCATGTCACCTGAACAATATCCATAACAGTGGGAGGAGGGAGGGTCAGCAGCCAGTAGAATGAGAAACCACACCACAACGACTCAGCCTGGAGTGCCTGTTTGGAAGGTAGAGGTGGGGCTATGAGCAAAGGGATAATGGTACCTCAGGAACCTCAGGAGCTCTAGGGTGTCCTCCCTTGGTAGGAGCACTCCTCTCACACCTGTAAGTCCAGATGTCTTTCCCAAGCACCATACCCTCGGTAACCACCTCCATCCTTTGGCACTGCTGCTGTTTGCTTTTTACTAAACTTTACCAGGAGACCTAGGCTAGTGGGTATGGAATGGTGTTAGTGGAGGAGTGGGCATTGAGCCACAGAAGAATGGGACACCTGACAAGGAACCATCCATCAGCCAGGCTGGCCATCCATAGTGAGCTGGAATTACGGTGTTGGCAGAGCTGTACAACAGCCCACTGTATTGCTGACCTATAAGATTTTGAGGCCCCACCCTCCAAGGTATTGGGCCATTCTGCTTTCAGAAGGCAGTATGAAGCCTGGGATAGCTCACCAGGGTAGATAGAGGTTGAGTTTTTCAGTATCTCATGAGGTTACCAGGCTGTGCTTCACCACTTGGGGTAGGAAGCACCCATCAGAGTATTCCTCTGTTCCTGCCTGCACACTTAATGCTGAGGTAATCAAGTTTAGCTCTTGAAACAGGCTAGCCTCTGGAGGCCTTTGTTTTTGTTTGTTTGTTTTTGTAGTACTCATTTTAGTTTTATCATACTGGTGTGCAGACTAGTGGGTTTAACACTCAGCGTGAACTAACTGTACAAGTCCGTGTCTGGTGCGTAGTTTCTTCCTGTTTATTTTATATATAGCAGGCTGAGCTTGCTTACGTATTGTCAAGACAGCATAGTATCCTGAGTGGAACTGTGGAAGGTTCCTTTCTGAGTCCTGGGGATACAGTAGTGTGCAGATGGGAAACTGCTGGACCTGTGAGGTAAGCTGGCCTTCTTAGTGCCCAAGACTGCCTGTAGACTAAATATCCAGGGGCCCAGCTGGAGGAACATTGGGTAGGGGTGGGTGAGTAGCTGCTCTCAACATAGCAGATGCAGGAAGGCATCTTGGCACCCTGAGCCCAGACCCAGATAAGTAGGCACCTTTGGAACAAATCCTTGCCTAAACCTATATTTCAAGCTACAACTAACTGAAAAGCTTTAATAAGAGCTTGGTCCCTTGTCCATGATAAGTACCTACTAGTTATCCCACTTCCAGAGAGCATAGCACATCCAGAATTCAGCAAAGGGTGACTCTAGCTTTTCCTCATTGCTTCCTGCCATGGGTTTTACGCTTCATTCTACAGAGCTGCCCTGCTCTGCTCACAGTGAAGTTAAGCAAAAATGGCTCTACAATGTCTCTGGCAAGATTGTGCGTTAGTGAGGCCTCAGTTCCAGGGCAGGATGGCATTTGGGGCCACTCTACCCCCAGGAGACACATGGTAGTGTCAGAGAGTACCTGGATGCCCCAACAGGGTAGAAGACAGCTAGCATCTACTGTGTAGGCCAGGATGCTGGAACGCCTACATTGCAAGGCAGTACCCACCATAGAGAGCCATCAGCCTTTCCCTGTCAGTGTGCTATATACGTTGCCACCAGGCAATGTAGCACCTTTGCCAAGTGCACAGCTTCATAGACTGGACACTTTGATCAGACTCCTAAGGATTGTCCAGCCTCAGACTCTTGGTACTAGACTTGCCCTACATTTGTCTTACATGTAGTAGCTTGCAGTGGAGAGGTGCTGATAAGGCCAGAACAACCAGCCCTGGTTGATTACAGGTAGTATGATGACGACTGTTCTCCCAGAGAAGGCCCAAGTGCTAGATGACCTCAGGCACATCTGGGGTGATGTTGGAAGTGTCATGAGGAAGACAGCACACTGTCAATACTATCTTCCTAGTAGAGTTCTCTGCCTGTGTCTCTAGACTGTTCTTTCCCTAGCCCTGGTTCTCCCTAGCCCATCCCTGGTAGAAGACAGCCTAGGGAAACACCCCAGCCTGTTTAACTAACCCCACCACATGGACCCCCTTCCAGAGGTGGACTTCTTCCCTTAGCACAGCCCAGACAGGTACAAGTTGGTGACAAGAGCTACTTCCAGACATCCTGTGCCATTTCCCATGCCCGCCCAGCCCGGACGGAGACCTTGCATCATGTGTCTTTACGGAAGGAATTTATTGTTCCAGAACTGAAGTTGCTCACAGTTATTTGACAGGGGTTACACCGGATGGGGCTTGTCCATTTCTGTGATGTCTGCGAGTCCGCATGTGTCCAAAGTACAAAAGAGGAAGGCTAACGAGAGGTATTGCTTTCAGTGTCCTGACTCCGTAGATATGCCCCTTCCCACTTGTACTGCGTGGCTTTGCTGTTTTTACAGGTGTTTGATTTTGTCCTATGTATAGAAATCCCAGCCTGTGGTGGTTGAATGTAATAGAAGCATTAAAATCTGTACATGAGGGGAAGAGCAAAGGCATGCATGAAACCTGCCCCCCGGCCCCTCCTGCTGCTACGCTGGGCACCTTGGGCCAGCTGGGAGGGGCTGGCTCAGCCAGACAGAACGGAACACAGACAGAAGCTGGAGATGAGGGAAGCAAGGTGGGCTTCGGCAGGCAGCAGGCAGTGGTGTGGGCCCCTTGCCCTTGCCACCTCCAGGAGGAA